GTTTCAGTTTCGAGTCCCCTTTCGTTCACCTGCAACCAGCGGAACGTTATCATCTGCCTTCCTGTAAATAATTCAACTGAAAAATTCATAAAGCAGCGGCGCTTTTATCTGTGTCGGCCTCCCCCTTTCGCCCTTTCGCCTTTGCCTCTCTGTTTTTCTTTAATTGTTTAGAAAATAAATCACCGAACGTAGAAATAAGTTGACAACACCGCATGAAATAAAAACGAACGAGCCAGCCACGAAAATAGAGCAGTGGAATGCGGGGAGCTGAGGGTGGTGGGCGGTGGTGGGCAGACTTTGGTGGGTGGTGCGGGTGGTGGGTTGGTGCGGGCGAGCGTCGGGCGGAAACGGAACTAACAAAGCACAAAACGAAACAAAAATGTCCGCCAAAAAAGCGAAATTCAGCTAGGAAAGCAGGGGAAGGGATAAGGAAAAATGGAAAATGAAAAGGAAAAACAACCCACGAAGCGAGCGGAAAAGCAAAATTGCCAAACTAAAACTTTGCTGCAGTCACGACACAAAAAAACAGCAAATACTGAGCGACCAAGTAAGGGTCCTGGGAAGCGAGCAGTGTGAAGGGAGAGGGTGGCGGAGGGATCGGTGGCACAAATGTAGTGACACACACATCTAAACAATACCTAGGCGATGGCTGGGAAAGTTTCGTCCTTTGGCCTGTAACAACCGTGGCAAAGCACAAAACAATTTACGAAAATTTGTACAATTTCTAAACTTAAATAAACACCGAGAATAGTTTTATTTTTATTATTACTGCCACGATTTTTCTTGCGCTCCCTCCGTGCTCCCCATCAAGCAAAGAGGGTCCCAGGCGGAGGGCGCCTTAAATTTTTGGTGGCATACTTACGAGCTTCTCACAGAATGCACCCGCTAAATGGGCTGTCAACAACTCGCTCCCTGCTCCGGCAGTTTTAATTAAAGCTAAATGAGCAGCCGAAAGGAGCGCGAAAAGGGGAAGGTCTGGCTCAACAAACTGTCCTCGCAGTCACGCAATGGCTCGGAATAATTCAAATGTTGCCAATGCACTTTTCCGCGGTGAATTAACAAGCGAAAACCCAAAGTTATGGCGTCGCAGCGGAAGCTGCTTGGGCGAGCGGCACAGTGGGCGCATCGGGCTTAAATTGAAAAAGTTTTCAGCTCGCAAGTTTCTTTCGCTTTTAAATGTTGAGAAGTAGTTCTGGGAGGGATTTGCTGCTCCCTCCCGGGCACACACACAAGTCTACATTACCCTCTGCCTCCTTTCCGCCTGTGTCTGTGTCTGCCCCAGCCAATCCCTCGCATGAAAGCGACACTTGAAGATTTCTCCGGGTATCAGAGTTTTCCACATTCAGCACACCAATCCAAACTAGCTCGTTTTCAAAGCTCAAAAGTATTTGCTCTTGTATATCTGTTCTTGCGATCTGTTCGTTTGAAGACTAACAGCATGTTTGGCAGCAGTTCACACAAATTTTAATTTAAACCAGACTATCCAGCTATATCGGTTTCTGTAACCCATGTAAGCTGGATAATTGAACCACAAGTTACCAAGACTCAAATAGGAAAAGTGTTAAAGTCACCGTTTTTTAATGAGTAGAAAAAATTTAGTACTGACACTCACAGGTTGAAACACTGATAATTATAAATGTTGCTAAGTGGGAAATTTATGATACATACCATTTAAATATTTAAATGCTTTATAAGTTTGAATTTTGATGCAACACGGACAATCGGTAAATTATTAAGAGTGTGAAAGGACGCCGGAGATGACTGTAAATAAAAATAGCGCAAATTAAGGGCATTCAAGTGCAACGCTGCGGAAACGGAAACGTGCGCAAAACAATTACCCGCACACAGAGATGCAAAATGCCCACACACGCACACCAGGACACGAGTACACGGAATTACAGTGTAACTACATTGTCGGCACTTTAAGGGCAAATTTATATAATGCTCATTTTTATGCAGGCACTCAAGTGCAATCAAAATGCGTAACGCGTAATTTCCATTTGAATTTGTGGGCTTGAGTGGGAGGGCCGGGTCCTAGGAGCCGAGCGTTCGCACGCCAACAATTCAGCCACAGAATGAAAATTGTTATGGCTTGCTGGCGCATTTATGGCATTTGTATTGCAATCCGACACAAATAGCTTAGCCCATGCCATCCTACGCAATCCGATGCCATCCAGTGACAATTGCAATCTAGTGGCCAAGGCCAGAGTTAGCTGTAATAATTATCTAATTTCCCCGCTCGCCGCGGTAATCGCTTTAATTACGAATGCTAATTAAAAAGCCAACCAATGGGGGTGCCCACCATTTACCGAAGCTGAGGCGAAATTTCGAAACAGTAGTTGGCGGTTGAAACTTTGGCACCACCAAAATACCCCCTCTTCACCTGGACAAAATCGGAATTCGTTAAGCAGAGTGGGCGCACTGACAAAAAACAAAATGGAAAGCCTTGCTTTTTAAAATGTATGCGATACTGGGTAACCATAAAAATTTTATAGTTCACTTTATGTTATAAGGTATTCAAACCTTTCAATACATTCCTATACCCTTGCAGAGGATGCAGTGATGGAGACACCTCAGACCCCATAAAGTATATATATTCTTGACCAGCATTATGACCTGAATCGAACTAGACGTGTACGTCCGTCCGTTTCATAGGGGAGATAAAAAAATTGGAAACAAATTATCACGTCGTTGTTTTTGATCATATCGACTTGATTTCTTCCAGATGGTCTTTTATAACTACTATTGAATTTCGAAGTAAATTTTATCCAAATTGGACAACTATATCTTGTTGCCATATAAGAGATCGAAAAACTTAGATTTATTTTTATATTTGATGACTTTCTTTTCCTATGCTTCACGTTGTTTTCTGTGTCTATACCTTTTTTTACCTCCACGACAATTTATGAAACCTGAATTGGAATCTGGGCGATGCACATCAATCATACGCCTAGGTGCCAACCTTAGCCTAGTATGTAGTCGCTTATCGGCCAAATCCCCGAGTAAACATTCAAATAATTTACCGTCACTCGCAATTACTGTCAACAATAGTACATGGTCCTTTGCCGCACTCAATTATGCATGCTCCTCTGGCCAGTGTTTGTGCAGCCGAGCAACGGACAAGCGGCAGCAATCGCAATATGGCCAACTCTCGCACCAACACAGTGCATTATGCAACACACACAGAGCCACATTCCCAATGACAGGCTAAACAAAAGCTGCAAAATGAAGTATGAGGTCAGCAGCCAAGAAAACAGAACAAAACAGGGCGCAACACAAAGGGAAGCACATGATTGTCGCTTGAAACTTGAGCCACAGCAACTAACCTCATGACATCAGCTTTTTGGGTTTGCAACTTATTACAATTTCCATATAACCTCCGAGCGCCAGGAGAAAGAAAGCCCGTAAGCAGGAAGGCAGCGCGAGAGTGTGAGTGCGAGTGTGAGTGTGAGTGTGAATGCACACAAATGCGCATATGCAGTGTGCTGGTGTGCTAGTGTGAGAGTGTGAGAGTGAGCGAGTGGAATAGAAGAAAGCGCAGAGGGGCAGAAACAGAAAGAGTAGCAAACACAGAAACAGAAGGAAGAAAGGAGGAGGAGGCGAGGAGGGGGTGGGGGTGGGGGAAGGAGAAGGAGAAGCAGGGGCGAAGGCAAATGCCATGTCCTTCAGCACTTGCCCTCGCAAAACAGGCAAAGGCAAAGGCAAACGAAAGGAAAGGAAAGAAATGGAAGGCAGCAAAACTGCTGGGGGGTCTTTAAGTTTTATGGCACCATTGTGTCAAGATAATAATATGTACGTCGCTGTGTGGGTACGTGACTGCATTTAAGTGCATAGTTGTGTAGGGCAGCACTCACACTCGCATCGCACATCGCAGGACACGGACACGGATACAGATACAAATGCAGATACAGATACATAAACAAGCATTCCTCGGGCACGACATTTACTCTCCGAATTACTCTAAACTGCTGCATTTGCTGCGCTGCGATGGGCGGTTTGCGAGTGCGAGTGCGAAAGAAGCAAAGTGGCAGCAAATAACGACTACAGCCACCCATTTCAGTCCGCCCGGTATTATCAATTTAAATGAATTGTACACGAGTGGGCCATAAATTCGAGCTGCATGACATTTGCTAATGTTTGTCCATGAGAGCGGCGGCGTTAATTAAATACCATGGCGTACTTGCGGGCTGCAGCGCAAATCAGAAATTCGGAATCGCCGAGCTCAGAAAGCCACATAGTTCTGTAATTAAAATGAGCGAACGCTTTGGCAATTCTGCGGCCGAATTTCAATTTTAATTTATGTGCACAACGCTCCGCGAAATTCGGATTCATTAGCGCTGTTTGCGCAGCGAGTTGAATAAACTCTGTTCGCGAAACCGCGGAATTGAAGAGCTGCCTCTGTGTCCGCCATATAAACATCGGCATAAATATAAAAACTTGTAAAATGTAAACCAATAATAAAAAGCAGACTTAGAACGCAGACCCGCGTTGCAGATAAAAATTACGACAGGCCACAAAAGTTTGTCCAAGTTTTCAGCGCTCTTCGCTTTTATGCGTCCCAGCACAAAATTTAAATAAACTCACTCACGCGTGCGAGCAAATAAATACAAATTTATGGAAAGCCCTGGACTCAGTCCTGCTGCGTGGTGTCCAGTCCAGCCAATTGCTGGCCATTTTGCATAATCTCAAGCCCATTCCTCTCCACCTCGCCCACTCCCACTTCCACTTCCATTCTCCGACTGCTGATACCGCTGACCTATAAATAATGTGCCAAATTTGCTTGAACAATAAATAAATTTCATTCTATATGCAAATGAATGGAATCCCCGCAGCTCGTGTTCGAGGGCGGAAAGTGAGTCGGGAACAAATCTCACGAAAGGCATTGCAATTTTAATTAGGCCAGGCAATTAGTTTCCGTAGGCACTCTCACTTGCTTCCAAGAATTTGATATTTACCCGGCCATCTCATATTCATGCTCTTCGTTCTCCTCTTACTTCCAGCTCACATCGCAAGGAGAAGGACCCTCCGAGGACACTACACTGAAAACGATTCATCATCGCCACAGCTCGGCACTTCGCTTCCGACATTGTTCTTTGCAAGGGGCGAGCAGACGGAACAGCCACTACAGCAAATTGAATGTAATTTCATAAAAAGCGAGTGTTAATTTTTTGCCAGCCACACAATACAAGATAGATACAGCCAGTGATACACGGACCCCGACGTGGCTTAATGTGCTAACACGCAGTGACATGAAAAATGATGAAGAGCATGCAGCTTTCGCCCGCACCCCCCTGCTAGAGAAGAAAGCCCTGCTGGAGAAAGAAAGAAGCGCGCGACGAGCTGCAAATTTGTGAGGCAGCCGCATTGTAGCTCGCAGGACAACAGACAACAGACAACAGGCACAGACAACAGGCAACAGAAAAAAGGCAACGTGAAACAACCAAAAGGCGGCAGCATCGCATTGACAGGCGACGGAAAAAGGCAGGGCAAAAAAGGCAGCGCTGCACATCGGACCAGCATCATTTATCAGCGACGCATCGCAACGAGAAGCGACTACGACCGGCGGGGCATATGTGCGCCGGATATGCTGGCATTGTGTGGTTGCCGCAGCTGAAAGGATTCCGCGCGTTCATTCAAAAAGCCATTAACCCTAATAAGCAGCCGCAGGAGCCAGTGAGGCAGTCGAACAATACGCCGCGCCGCCCATCGATGTGCCAGCCCCTCCCGCGGCCCAGGACATAGGCTGTGGACAGTAGGCGGAAACTCGGCGGAGGAAAGCCTGCATCAGGGAGCGACTGGCCCGGGAAGCGCGCAAGGATGCCCGTGGTGCCGCCCCGCCTGCTGCTGCGTCTGCGGCGGCCCCTGCACCTGATGGAACTCCGCATCCTGCTGCTCTGCCTGCCGACGCTGCTCCTGGCCACCACCCTCGAGCCAGGTGCGTTCCCAGAACCAAATCCCAACCCCAACCCCAACCCCTTCACATTCGCCTCCTTGAGGCCTTGACCCACCTCCCCCAAATTTAATTAGGGCTGCCTCCGCGGGTAGGGACTTAGTGGAGTGCTAAGTAAATTAAAACGGAATTTATGCCAACTGCCCCGATATCCGCCCAAGGTGTGCGGCACTTTATTTTAGTATTTACACAGAGCTACAAATCGCTCCGAACCTGGCCCCCTGCCCTTGAGCCCACAATTAAAGCCCCTTAACGCGGTCCGAAAGCCAGCGCGAAACTTTGCCAATTTACGGATTTATTGTGCTAGGAATTTTATTATTATCTCCGTCGCGTTTAATTCCGCCGAAGTGCGCCAAGCAAGCACCTGTGGCACAAAACTTTTCCTAGAAATACTTTCAGCAGCGGTTGGAGGGGACTTGCCCAATATTGTGTGGGGTATTTAAATGTTTGCGATTCATTTCGCAAATGGAATGCAACCGACCATTGGGCTGCATCAAGCATGGCGAAGGGGCTATACTAGGCAATTACCCGAATGCAGGCAAGTAATTTAAGGCTGTCGGAAATTGCCCTGCAAACAATTATTAATGTTTCATCCGCAGCGCATCGCGTTTGACCTTCCGCTAATTTACTTCAAATAGGCGGCGCTTCCCGGCAGCGAGCCACACCCAAGGAACCCACTTCGGGCGCCAGTTCCCCCGACAGTGTGTGTACGTCACGTATACGCATCGTTAGAGCTCCTAAGTTATGGCCAACACGTAACATTCACAAATAATAAGGATAATGAAAAATACACAGGGGAGAGATTAGCGCCGAGGGCGACCCACCTTGTTGACGGGCCGGCGTAGTTGCTGCCCTTGCGGCTTTGGTTTTGACCCGGGGCGCCGCGAAAAGTCAAAGTCGCCGCGCTCCCCGCTATTTTCTGCCGCACGCCTTTGTTGTTCGAGTCCCTCCTTTGTTTTCGGTGCTATTTCTTGGCGCCCCCGTCGGGCAAACGCGTTACGCATAAATTATACGCCAAGCCGCGCCATCCACGACGACACCTTATCAAATCGCGCGGTCCGCTCATTACGCAGCCTCCTGCGGAAAGTGGGGGCGGGACACTTGCCCGCCAGAAAACAAACGGAGCTCGCGTGACAGTGCAAAAATTGAAAATTTATGGCGACGACTTGTGGCTTGAAAATCGTTGTCGGCAAAACTTTTTAAATTGACTTTTAAAGTGCGCAGCGCACTGGGCGTGGAAAGTGCGGTGTGTTCGGTCGGGGCGTGTGAAAATATGCGTGGTATTTGCAAATGGCGCAGGTGGGTCTTATGGGCTGGAGTGACGAAGCACTTGTACGTCTCAGCTAAGCCCCACAGTGCAGGATTAATTTCGGGCCCAGATTTTTTCCGATTCGGGTATTTGGTGTGATCCTCAAACTTGCTTTCCATCGTCAGGCAGGAGACCCAAGGTATTATCCGAAATGTGAACACGATCCTATTGAGCCAGGAAAAGGGCTTCCACGAACACACTTCTACGACTTCTTCGGCAGCAGAGAACGTGGCCAAAACATCATTTTGGAAGGGAATGACAGCAGGGCACAGTCGGCTTAGCAACATGTCGGTCCGTTTATGTGTTTGTGCCACTTCTTGTGTCTTTGTATCTGGCCTCAAGGACGCTCCTACACGCACACTTTCCCCCGCAAACATTGGACAAACGGCTGGCTTTCACCTTGATTTTCCCGCTCCCCTTCCTTGTCTTTAAGTGGAAATGAGTTTGAAGCCAGGTGGTGGTGAGGGGCGCGATGGCCCTGCGCCGCAGTCAGCTTTTTCGCAAATTTGCTTAGCGGTTTTAAAATTAAGCTCATGGGCCGTGGAGTCAGGGCGAGATCTTTCACCCTCGGGTGAGACCGGGTTATGGGTTACGGATGCCGGGCCACGGGGAGCCAGGAGCCAGGAGCCGGGAGCTTAAAAACAGCTAAGCACTCCGGCCGGGCGGACGAGGAGCGCAGACTTAAGCAGATTTGGGGATTAACACTCGCACACTAGCACGCCGCGCAAACATATTGGCGGGGTATTAAATTATTACGTATACGACGCGGGTAGACGAGGGTTGGGCGCTGACTGCTGACGGCGACTAAGACAGATAAATAATAATTTGAAACATGGCAAGTGCGCACAGCTACAGCTACAGCTACATCTACATCTACAGCTATAGCTTCAGCTCCAGCTTTGGCTTCGGCTTTGGATATAGCGTAGGCTACAAGAGCTACAAGAAAAACAGCGACGACAACGAGGACAATAACCAATGTGTCGTGACTGTGGGCCATACAACTTAAGCGGTCGGAGGGCGTGGGGCGAGAGATTGACAAGAAATATTTATTATTAATAATAAACATGCGAGAATGCCAGCCGCACTTGCTGACTTCATTATTTATCGCTTTTTAGCAGTTGGGCGGCGGGCGGCGGGCGGCGGGCGGCGGGCGGTTAACGGAATGAAAAATGCGACGAACGAAAGGAAAACTTATGTATTGCCAGTTTTTGCTACTTTTGTGCGGCATCCGGTTAGCCCAGAAATGGAATTCGCACCGAAAGCCTCGGCGGGGGCGGGGCGGAGGGAGGGGTTTGCCAGTGGCCGGGACCTTTTCTATCGTTTCTTGCGAAAGTTTTATTACAGTTGCCTACTTTCAGGCATAATATAATTCACACGCCTAAGCCGCAGGCAGCTGACATGCGCACGTACCGCTTAGTCGGGAGTCGAGTCGAACAGGATGCGTCGGAATACGCGCCCCAGCCGTTTTATTAGCAGTGCGTGTTTTTTCACTATTATCGCGCTCGTTCTTCGCCCGCGCCCGCGCCCGCGCCCCGCCCACTTGACCTTAGTCCCGAACCGTTCCTGGCGAGCAGCTCGTGGCTTTGTGTCTCGGCCCGAGCATTTAAATTCCTCTTAACATGCCCAATATATTTCCACTTGCCTTCGCCTGGGTGTGTATGCGCCTGTCATGCATACAAATGCAGAGATAAAGAATGCGTGTGTGTACAAACAATTTATGCTCGCTATACCGCCAAAAGCGACCTGACCCGTCATAAAGCCGCCTCGAGACGACTCGAGTCAAGTGGACTCGCCTTTGTCTGCCCTTGGTTCTTGATTTCTATACCCCTCGATCGAAGAGCCAGAGCGTTGTTTAGCAGCCAAAGTGGGTAATAGGATAAAGGAAACGTTTTCAAGCCCGCTCAGCCACTACATTAAATCGGTCAGTATGGGCGTCCACTCTATTCAGTCTTGTCCGCAGAGATCTGGGGAGTCAAAATAGGAGATAGAGGCAGAGGTCTAGTCTGATTTTTATAAATAATCCATTACCTTTATTTTTAGTTCATTTTTCCCTTTTTAAATGCTGAACATCTGACTTCTAAGAGCGGACTCCTGTTAACTTAGTTAACAATTACCACTTTCACTGTACGCTTGCTGAAAAAGCCCAAAAGTGGGTATCTAATAGTCGAACTAATGCTTTTCCTTGCTTGCTTCTTTTCCCAGCTCATTTATTATTATAAATAGTTGCGTATTATTCGCGAACTGTCGTAGGGTCAAATCATATGTGTATCAGATGTCGGAATAAACAAGTTCGTAGCCGGGCAAACAGAAGGAACTGAAATCAATGCAGCGTGTCTTGACGTCACTGCGGACTTTGGCCACATAAATAAAATGGCGGCGCACAAAGGACAATCCGACCACACGAACACACACACACACACGCACACGTACTCGCACACAGTACTCTCACAGATAACATACATCTGCGGCAGAGGAGCATTGCATACGCATGCCTAAAGTATGAACTATAAAAATTTACGAGGCCATAAAGCTGTGAGCTTGCTTCGCTGTGTTTTATGGCCGAGTTCAGGAGGAGGGCGATGCGGGTACGCGCTTTCCTGCAGCCAACGACACTGCGCATTTTGTGCTTCGATCCTCCTTCGATTTCGCACAACAAATTGCAAAGCAACCAAGGCCGAGGAGCTCCCGCCAAAGTTTTTGCAGTTCGCCCGTCTGATTGATTGGCTGAGTTTCCCTTTACAGCACTCCCATCATACACAACCCGGCACTCAGCGAGTTAATATTAGACGATCTACCCTTCAGCTTGCCATATTCGGGGTGTTGAGCACGCAGCTCGAGGAGCGCAAAGCCGGCGCACTCTGGCATAAATTTAATTTTGGATGCCAGACGCTCAGCTGCAGTACTCGACCGCGTTGCCCGGCAATCCGGGTTCCCAATTACAGTAAAACCCAGACGGGCGACCGTAGTTTCACTGATTAAACTTAAAATTTCTTGAGAAAATTGCTAATAATAGCCGAGCAGGCGTATTAATTGCCACTTGGCTGGTCTTACGCAATAATGACGGGCAGATTTTAGTTGCTCAAGCTTTCAGCAAATATTATTTGCCAAGTTGGCAGCTAAGAAATCCAACCTGCTTAAAATAATAACTTTTTCGCTTTCCTTTTAATATTTCCTTAGTTATTCTTTTATCAGCTGCGGTACAGTTGGGTATAATCCTGAAACGTTGCAGTCCCCTCTTAAGGAAAAAATACATTATTCTGTGCAGATTCTACAGCAAATATATTCCTAATCATCCAAAATAAATGTCTAAAATTCACTTTGTAATCCTGGCCTATTGCTTGGCAGGACGTTCGAGGAAAACTCTACTCTAACCACCCCATCTTATCAGCCATAATAATCATAAATAATGTGACGTTCTAGTACATAATATTTCACCGGACATAGGTTTGGGGGACTATCCAGGGGAGTGCACGTGAAATGGCTAGCTTAACCTGGGTTGAGATTGGATTGCCAAGTCCCGAAGGCCAATCGCATTTATTTGCCAGCTGCACCACGCCAGACACTTTTGCTGATTGCATTCGAATTGCATCAATCGGATTTGGCCCAGAAGACGGGAACCAAACCGAACTTTAACAGAATTAGCCACTGCACTTTCCGTTTTTCCGCAATTGCCATTGTCTAATGCTGGTGGCTGCTCTTTTCTTTGATTGCAGATCAAAAGTCAATACTCACAGATAACGACTGGAAGAAGCTATGGATGCGCGGCGGTATAAATGCCGATTCAAAATTGGATAATAATCTCGACTCGAGCGACAGTCCAATGTTCGAAGACAGTGAGGTAAGTCCCATTGACAGATTGTCCATTCGCCCGTCCGACCGGATGCAATGAACTGTAACTCGAACTTGAATTCAAATTGAATCGACTGCCAACGCAGATGCTACGTGCCCGGGCGCTCATCCGTGGCAAGGACAATAGCCAGTTTGTCGGCAAAACTGTTTCTTCTATCCCATCAATATGTTAATGTCCTTGCCAAAAAAATGCAGCAGAACCAAGCCAAAGAGGACCCAATCGAGCCCGCGCTTACCGGTATAACGCTAATTACCAGCGTTGCGAGGACGGGGACGGGGACGAGGACAAGGACGAGCCCGATTCGGATCTGGACTCCAGTGCCGGGACTAATTAATCTTTAGTGCTTATTTATAATTCATTCGCGCTGGCTTCGAATCTAATTATCCAAATAGCAAGCACGCCACAACCGCCAGACCGCCTCGTATCGCCCCATCCTGTCCGGATGCCTCGGACTCTGATGTATTATACGGTCTGGATCCTGGATCCTGGCCGGTGCTGTTTGGCTGACTAGTTGTGCGACTCGAGCGCGTTTCGCCTGCGAGCTCCTCCCCCTCGGACGTCGTAAAAAATGAACTTTTAACTTTTTGTCTTGTGTTTTTTCTCTCCCCTCTCTTTCTTCCGATTCTCGCATTGCCAAAAGCTGATGGCGCACAACACAACCGTCCAGCTGGGTGGCACCGCCTTTCTGGTCTGCAAGGTCTCCGGCGTGGACAGAGTGGGTGTAAATTGGGTTTGTTTTTGTCTCTCTAATTGTACCTCGTCGAACCACGTCGTCGGCGACGACATTTTCCTCTTCTGTTCCATTCTGTTCTATTCGGTTCTGTTCTGTTCTGTTCTGTTCTGTTCAATGTGCACGCCCTGCTCCTCAACTTGGCCGAAACACAAAGCCCTGTCCTGTCCTGTACTGCACTGCATACCGACCACCCTACATCCTACCAAATGCACCGAATACCCCAAATCCCGGAACCCCAAGTCCCCGGTCTCCACCCACGCATGCTTGCATGGAGGAGCGCTTTGTTTAGTGGCTGCCAAATTGAATTCCAGATGGGCAGGATCTGCGCGGGCACAGCTGCTGCTGCAATCCTATATGGATATTGTAGTCGCGTTTTTTGCACCATTTTGCTATGCGCTATTTGCGCTTTCGTTTTCATTCCATTTTCCTGTCTAATTATATGGCATTTTCATTTGCCTTTTTGTTTTCCGGAATGCGGCACGCGAAAGTCTAATTTGTTAAGCAGTCGGGCACGAACAACAGCCGAACAAGAGCTTAATTTGTAGTTGAAAGCAAACGTTTGGCACAATGACAATTTCAGTACACATTGTTTGACATTCGGTTTTGCTAACAAGCAACTAAGTACCGCACGCAATCAATTTCTCTGCGCATATATGAAACAGGCCTGAACGTCAATTAATTAATGCGCGATTTTCCCGCCTCATAAGTTTAGAGCAACTTATTCAGTAAATGTCCGTGACACGTTTTAGCCTGGCACAGTTTACAAGAATCTCCAAATAAGCCAAGCCTCAAAAAGATTATATCTTTATCTTGCTTATCATTTTAGTACTTAAGATTTCTACAAAAACCCTTTGCATGTGCCACATCCCGGTCAAACGTTATTTATTTTTGTGTAAAATTATTACTTTATCAAGCTAATCATTCCATTACCATCTAAATTTGTATGCATGTGGGACCTTACATCAGTTTCCTTAAAGCTGTTTTAGTTTACCTGCCCGTTTTCCGTTGCCCCCTGTGGAGCTGTCCTCACTTACGGGTGTGCACCTGCCAGGGACATTAAAAATAGTTTATCCACTTGTAAACCAATGTCGTAATTTAATCCCCGGGCATACCACCAAGTCCACCCGCATCCCGGGCGAACGTCATTGCGGCACGGATGTCGGTGGTGCGGTGGTGCAGTGGTGGTTGCAGCGGTGGGACTTTTGAGCATTTTTTAATTACTTTTCGGATGTTCGCATGTTTCACTAATTGCAAGAGCGGCTCTGTTTGTGCTGCCTACTTGCAGCGCTATTAATTATCCGTGTGCGTAGTACTCGATTACCAATTTGTCCGATGTTAATAACGCACGGCCCTGCCTTTCGTCAACAGAATCAAATATCTTGGATCCGCCGCCGGGACTGGCACATCCTGTCGTCGGGGGCCCAGCTCTACACGAACGACGAGCGCTTCGCGATACTGCACACGCCCGGCTCCAACATGTGGACGCTGCAGATAAAGTTTGTGCAGCGCCGGGATCACGGCATGTACGAGTGCCAGGTGAGTGGGGCGGTGGTGATGGTGGGGGTGTACTGCGTTTACTGGGTGTACTGGGTGGGGGTGTGGCCGGAATGATGGGTCCATATTTTATGCATGCGGCGCAGTTGAAATAAACTAAAGTGCATTTGCATATGCTCTCGTTTCGCCTGCCTGCGCCGTTGTATTGAGGTTTTCGGGCTTTTGCTTTCCGCTGATTTCACGTCACGTCGATTTGTTCGCCGGTGCATGATTTAATTGTAAAATGCAAATGGAATTGTATATGCAAAGGTTCGATTTAAGGCAACTGCCTCCGGGCCTCTGGTCACCTGACGTTGGCAGGGCAGTGCCGACGCAAATGCCGATCCGAGTGGGATTGACAAGTCGGACTGTGCGGCCAGCCGAAAACGTGTGACTGTCAGCCAGCAGGCTGCGACGGATATGGCCAGAACACGGCTCCCGATAAGCGGAACCCGGCCAATGGGGGTCTGCAGAGACCAGGGATCCTTCGACGAGTAATGCAGTGGGAAGCCCGAAAGTCATGCGAATGCAAATATGGAAAGGTCGTGCTCCCAGGAGGAAGGGGAAACAGCTTAGCTGGGATCCGGGGAGGGAAGACAACTAACCGAAAAGCAACAAAGTTAGACACTGCTGAAATGGACACTTGACAGTAACTCTGTTTGTGCAGCAGCACAAGTGCCACTCCGGCTGCTTTGACTAGATGGATGAGGCGAGGGAAACGGAGTGCCATTTCGGAAACGTAGCTTCAATTTCAAAATTGTTTGCATGCAATTTCAATATGAGAAGCCGCATGCCAGAACAAACCAGTCAGTCACCGAGTCGGGCTCAGGGTCGGTGGGTCGGGCAATGTCCCCTCCGGTCTCCGGGCTCCGGACTCCTCACTACGGACTACCAACTACCGACTACCGACTACGGACTGTCGTCTTCGGACTACGGACCACGGACTGCGGACTCAGGAGCCCGGAATACGGAATACGGACTATGAAGCTGAGCGCCGGACGAGAGCTGCATGCAAATGTGCCGAAATGATTATTTTCCTACTCCACTGCGGCAGCGGATCCGGAGAAAATGCAGCAGCAATCGCTGCCTGCCGGATATTTTGGAGGAGAGCTCCGAGCTGGGACGTGTAGGAAGCGCTCCACTTATATAGAATCCGTTCGTTTTTGTTTCATTTTGCGTGCCAAATTGAAATTGTTTGATTTGCATTTCAATGAGTGCAACATTTCTTGCACTCGCAACGCTTTTTCCAAACTGGCTGGGTGCGGAGGGGTGATTCTTGCTCGCAGTTTACTGAAGCATTAAGATTCGAGTTGATTACGAATACCAATCACACTCAATTGCCACACTTGCTCTTTCCACCCCGGCTTTCCGTTCTGCGTTTTCCGAACTTTCTATCACGAAAACGAAAACAAACACCTACCCACAGGTCTCGACGCCGACTGGCATCATTTCGCACTTTGTGAATCTTCAAGTGGTTGTGCCGGAGGCCTTCATACTGGGCTCCGGCGAGCTGCACGTCGACATGGGCTCAACAATCAATTTGGTGTGCATCATTGAGAAGGTAAGTCGCCAGGAGAGGTAAAGTCGCGCGCCCACTGATCCCTCCGTCTCCGTCTCGGCACAGAGTCCAACACCACCGCAGTACGTTTACTGGCAGAAGAACGACCGCCTGATCAACTACGTGGACTCCCGGCGGGACATCACCATCGAGACGACCCCGGGACCGCGCACCCAGAGCCGCCTGATCATCCGGGAGCCGCAGATCACCGACTCCGGCAACTACACCTGCTCGGCCAGCAACACGGAGCCGGCGAGCATTTACGTCTTCGTTTCGAAAGGTGAGTGATGCAACTGTCTAAATAGCAATAGGCTACAGGCCAACATAGGATTTGCGAACGGGAACGTTTACCTCAAAAACGGCGTCGTTTGAACTTTTTTTATTTTCATTCAACAACAAATTCGCAAGTTCTTCAGAAAAAGGGAGTTACCATTTTAGAAGTATCATACCTTACACGCAAGCCAGGAGACACAAATTATGATTTCCAACACCGATGAAAAGACCCGTGCACTTTTGTTCCTTAGCCGAATGGCGTTCCCTGGATTTTAGCATTTAAATAGACATCGTGCGCCTTCTGACGATAGCGATAAGACGTGTAAACGAACGAATGCAAATGGCGCGCAGCCTGCAGCTTATTAACATGAAAATGGAAAAGCGCGGCGGGCGGAGAACTATGAACTGGGACCGCCGAGCTCAGTGGTGGTGCACATAATTGCATTCGCCGGTCTGCGCTAAACAAGTTCTGGCTCTAATTCAAATTCAAATTTTCTCCCACTGTCACCTGCAGGCGACAATATGGCGGCAATCTCGCGTCGCAAGACCTCCTCGGCCGATCGTCTGACGCACATATTCAGGTCGATGCTGGCGCCCTGTCTCCTGCTGAACACGGTTGTTGTGAGGTGAGTGTGGCATATCTGCTGTCCAGCGAAGCGCCTGTCCTAATACCGCCCTCTCCACCAGACGCATCTTCCTGACCTAAGCGGACCGCCGAGGAAGCCGTGGCGAGTGGAGGCCGGCGACGAGAAATCCTACTTAAGCTATTTCAGTGTTAGACCTAAAGCGAACCGAAACAGAGTTAATAACTGAATACCCCAGTCTAGGATAATTGCTAAGCTAAGCTCAGTGGAGACCGAGCACCCAAGTGTAAAAATCAAGTTAAACCAATCGCAGTCGCCGTGCACGTATGTGTGTACTTGTACGTATGCCAGGCATTTACCCGTACATCCGTACATGCAGACAAGTCTAGATAAGTCCTAGTTTAGTTGGTAACTCACCTTCCATTGATTGTGTACAGTATGTTGAAGGACTTCGAAGTATGTGAATTGCGTTTATGAATACCGTTCGGTTTTCTTTCCCCAAACTCCTCGGTTGCCGTCGCCAGTGTTATGTATATGTGTAGTGCAATTTGCTCGCTCGGTGAGCTGAGAACAGCAACTTATTGGAAATGCCTTTGTTCGACCCAGTTCAGTGCTTTGCAACCCAAAACCCAAAACCCAAAAACTTTTCCCTGTAAACGGAATTTGCATAAGTAGCCAATTTGAGTCCATTAAAATGAGGTATATATATGAGCAAAAACACGCATTAAAAAGCTATTATACTGTTACTAATTGCTAATTGAAAACTAAAAACATAAAAAGAGCAGCGGGCACGTCCAGCCCAGAAGGCAGCAACAACAAGAGCGAAATAAATGTTAACGAGAATAAGAACGAGAGCATCAACCCACATTAATTAATTATGTTATTAAGTTTGTAAATAAATTTTATTGCAAATGGCATAGCTCGCACACGCACACGCACACACAAGGACACACACGGCATGCAGAAAAAATTAATTTAAACTGTGTAAATAAAAAGGAAATCATACAGCTCCAGCAACGTCAACCACAAGGCATACAACCGACTGAAAATGTGCAACATATTGGCCAGGGCCCGTGGACGGGATGGGAATCGGATCGATTCGGGGTAGAGGAGTACGAGCATGTGGATGCTTTATGGGCTTTGAAACTGTCAAAATCAAGCTGTAATTAATTGCAAAAGCACACAAGGGAGAAAGGAGCGGGTCTAGGCAAAAACTAACTATAGAGACAAAATAGGGTAATGTAAAATCATCATTCAGCCGAATCAGAAAATTGAAAAAAATTACTTTACATGCAGCTTTCTGGCTATCAAAAATGTTAGCTGAGATCTCTAGGAAGCGCACTCGTCTCAAGCCCCGAAATCTCATCTTTGACCTGGCATTGGCAGGGAATTCAACCGACATTTTTCCATTAACAATCTGCATTTGTCTGCTGCCCTTGCCGACTAGCTGAAACACCTCAATCACGAAAGAAACATCTACGTAATGAATTATGTACAACTTCTCGACTGTTTATTAATCTTAGGCCGGCTCCACTAACGGCAGCGGCCTGCACTTACGATAGAATACAATATAGGGGATCCGCTCCAGTTCGAATTGATGTGTTGTCAGACTTAAGCCTGCAATAACCAACATTTGTTCATTGTCGGTACGTAATTTACACAACAAAAACTGTTAAGAAATACCATTTGAAGTTTGAATAGATTCATTAGTGTGATCCCACGACAAAACCAAAAATGTAGCGTAATCATTATACTAAAAGAATAACGATATTGATAATACCGAAAATACTAAAGCGATTCCACAGCCTCCTTGATGTGTCTGTATGTGTATGCGTATGCCCAATGCTCGTTGGACAAGTTAATTGATTCAATTGAAGTAAACTGAATTAAAAGAAGCATTTAGTTGGTTCTCACTGTTAAGCATTTCCACTGTAAATATTTTGTACTAACATACGTATATCGAACGGCTGATAATGGTCCTTCGTTAATTAATGAAAATCACATATGGCAACAAAGAAAAAGTTATAATAGGTAATTGTACTCTTGGTGTAAAAACAGGCAGAGCAAAAATAAACGAACAACCAATATAGAACGATTCAAATGTTTTCAATGTAAGTGCTCGAGCAAATAACTGTAAAATTTCAACTTGCAACAATTTGACGAATATGAATTTAATAGTACAGATATAACAAATCTAAGCCCCAATACTTTGTGCTTCCACGCACAGATACAAAGGAGGGGACGACAGAAAATACCAAAGCAGCAGTGCATGGCTAACAATACGAATGCATGCGAATAAATCAAGTGATTATCATGGAAAAATAAATGTAATTTAAATAATAACTTAGCAATCGAGTTCTCATTTCCTTGTCCGGCTAGGGGGTAGGGGATGCAGGCGGTTTCGGTAAGTTATCCAACAGGGGCTGCGTCTGGGCAATAACCAATCAATCAGCCAACTTCCAGCAGGGTCGAATCGACGGCCATTGTAAAGGGGGCTCGTCAACACGCCATAATTGGACTCCATTGTTGGCACAACACACACAAGCGGCTGCCTATTTGCCGAAGTCGCCAGCTTTTTCGGAACAGCGCGCCAATTATTTTTCGACGTTTTCCTTAAGACCGGCAGTTTACTTTCTGTCAACATTATATTCAGCGCCTCGTCGCCGTTCATTTCGCTGCGAACATGTTGCACTTGGGCACTTCCCCCGACACTCGGCCTGCCTCGAAGTTCGCGCTCAAAGTTTGCCGAGTGTGTTTGTGAAATCAAATGCATTGAACGCGGCTGGCAGAGCCGAGGAGCAAACTTTTGTGGCCACCAAAGTTTTGGCAAATCAAATGAACCCGGGTAAATTTGCCATGCACAAGTGCCAGCGCGGCCATGGTCGATGGGTGGAGGCCCGAAAGTAAAACATTGAACTGCAAAAGTAATGGAGAATTTCAACAAGAAATTATAGTGTACACACACCAGAGAGTCCTGCCAAGCCACTTCGAGCGGGTCTCAGCCAGGCCAGGACCTCTTCGGCGCATTTCTCCAGTGAGGCAGCCAAACGGGCGAAATTGGCTGTTGACAGCTCCGAGTTGAGTGTGTCGAAGACTTCGACGTTTGGGAGATTGAAAACTTTGCCATTTTTATTTTCGATTTGCCGTTTTGATTAAAAAGTTTGGCCCGAAACTCAAAGCATTGGGCCTTCTCAAAATCACAGTCTAATTTCAACGTCAGCCTGTTACCTCAGACGGATAGAAAATTGTGTGAATATGTGCTTACGAGTTCGCATACAGAGCAGCACTTTCAGTCAAACGGAAGCGGCTCCTTTGGCCGCTTGTTTGCTTTTAAGCTCAGAACGTAACGTCTATTTATGGTGAAGTTATAAAATGAAAGATTATTAATTTTTCCATTGCATTCAATGTAATGGCATGACCCCAACTCACTTTCGCGAAAGGCATCTCCGCCTTGTAACCTTCTCAATTTAAGAAATGTAGAATAAATAAATTTTTAGTCGAATTTTGAACGCATTTTAAACTCTTTTATTTAAACGTAGAGTCAAAGGTTATACTACATCGTGTTGAGAAAGCATTGTATCGATTTCTCGTAGAATAATATCCGAAATTAACGTAAAAGGGCGAAGGAAGTGTTTGTAACTCCATACGGTATGTATATTTATTATCAGGATCCGGACAAGTCGATCATTGTCTGCCTATCTATGTGAATGTCGAGAACTCGGGACCTATTAATATTTTAGATTTTTTATATATTTAGATTATTTGAGATTTTGCGACGCTCAAGTTTTTTATACCCTTGGAGAAAATGTTATATTTTAAGTCAGACGTTTTTAAAGCAGTGATTATCGCAACTTAAACGAAAACTTTGTCCGAGACAACATGATACTCAAAGATTTGATCGAGGCCTTGTATAAGAAAAAAATGACAAGCGCAATAAATAAAATAAGAAAGCGTAAAAGAGGTCATGGCAAATATTTAATCTCGGCATACCAAATTTTGTATTTTCAAACGCCTCGACGTACATACAGACGGTGATTCTGATTAATAATATATACACTTAGTGGTTTCCAGGGTATGTAAGCCTCGACTTAATGAAGGAAGCCTCCTATCCGGCTTAAACTGCCTTTAAAACTCCTGACTGTTTTGGATTAGTGGCACCGATTGTTTCTATTCCATCTGCATTATATACTATTGTTTTACAAATATATTTTTTAATGTAATAAATAAAGTGATTTAAACACTTTTATAATAATAGCTATTAGTGCGCGAGAAAAGCGGAGCGTCAAGCACGAGAGCAGAGATTGCTAAAACCCTTTTAGGTTGGCTATCATTTGTATACTCTTCTGTAATAACTATTGGGCGCAGTACACTATGCGTTCTGTTTTCGTATTTTTATTCGTCATGTTAAAAAATCAACTTGTATAGGTAAAGCCACATCAATCACAGTTGAAAGGGCAGAAGTGCACACAATAAATTTGCAAATAACTTGCAATAACTGTAATCAACATACTTGCCAGTCCCAAGTGGCAAGACAAACAAATAAAACAGTGAACAGAACGCAAAACAATCATTCAAATTGCGCATACGCTCCGTGGTCACAAGGTGCAACCTGGTGTGCATGTACTCTTCTTTTGGCGCGCAGGCATTAAGCTGTCATGTTTTCCGCTGATGTTAGAAATTATTGTGCATTTCTGTAAATCTGTGCCACCCGAGCGTGCTGTTCGCACTGCGCTCCGCATTTTCCGTGCCAGTTGTAATTGATTGGAAAGCACAGGGACTAAGCTCGGTTCAATTCAGCTCAGCTACGTTCAGCTCGGCCAAAACCCGCCCGCGGATTTGCCCTTGGCCTGCCTCGTGCCTTTCTGTCGACATTTTTATCTGTATCTGCCTCTTGCACTGCGACTTCCCGAGAACTCATGGCGCCCGGCCCGCCCCCCTCGGCAATTGTTTAAAAGCTTTTGCAATATTGTTGGCCACAATGTGGCAAAAGTTTTGCAAGCAGAAAAATGCGCGTATCTCGTGTTTAGCACTTCATATTTATTACCTGTCGAGTGCACTCAAATCACTTGCAGTCGTTGTTGGGTCATCGGGCAGGGCATCGGCAAAGGCGCCTGGGTGGAGGGGGGTCCGAGTGGGCCAGCGCCCTCCTCCACAAGGGCAGCAGTTGGTCAGCAAAAGTTTAGCCCTTCAGTGTTTTGATAAGCATAATTGATGATGCAACCGGGCAGGGCATTGAGGAAATAAAAGTGGTAAAAGCAGTGGAACACAGCGTCGAGAGAAGGAACGCAGGATAGTGCTGCCCTCCTATATAAAGTAAAGCCAAATACCATTTACGAAGCTGACCATCCCTGTAGGAAGAAAAATATGTTCTCACATATTTTATAGCACATTTGTGTATTGAGAGCAAGTGCTGAAAAAAGTTATCATCAATGACTGCCGGGCACGAGGAGTGCATCATCACGTCCGTGCCGTATTTCACCCAGACACACACACCCAGTCCTTCCAAGTCCTTTCTGCGCCCTGCTCCCCTGCCCGATCAGAACATTTTCCCTCTTAGGAGAAGGTCGCTCAAAAAGGGGAATTATTCATTTATTTTATGTTCTTGGCATAATTAAAAAGTTTCCGCATGTACTCGATTGCGAACGGCTTTTGAGTATAATAATGTGCTTGCACTTTAATATTGCAGAAAAAGGTAAGTACGAAATAAAATTGTTAGAAATATTGAATAGTAGGGCAACGCCGTTTGTCAGCTGATTGCGATTGTTGCCTGCGAGCAATGTAGATCGATAAGTTCTAAGTTTGATTCTTCTTTGTTACTTCACAACGAACGGACGCGTCTTGATTTTGTATTCCAAGTATCCGAAAATAAAGCACTCAACATTTCCAATAGGTTATGGGCCCAGAGTGACTTCAATGCGCGAGAGAAATAAAGAAAGAGTTTTTGACGGTCGTGTTTAATAATCGCGGTAAAAAGTGAACTGTTCCCTGCGAGGAAAGTTCTGGACTTAAGGCTAAATTGGTAGCTTCGCGTTAAACACAGTTGCGGTTGTGTGCGTGTGATTTTTGCGGTAAAAAGTGAATTTTTCCAGCGTGGAAAGTTCTGGACTTAAGTCTAAATCGGTGGCTTCGCAAATCAACACGAAAGATGAATCCGGGAATGAATTCCATAGAAAAACTTGGTGATGAAAATTACAGCGCGTGGGCTGTGCAAATGAAAAGCGTTTTAATATACGCAGATCTGTGGGCAGTCGTTTGCCGTCGTGTGATAAAAAACGAAAATGACAGTGAAGAAGTCAAGGCTGCATTTGATATAAGAGATGAAAAGGCTCTTGCGAGCATAATGTTGAATATAAAACCGTCGCAAATAAATCATGTAAAACATTGTGTTAGTGCAGCGGAAGCATGGGATAGACTTCAAGCAATACACCGGCCAATGGGACCGGCGCGGCGTGTATTCCTACTTCGGCAACTGCTACGTATGAAAATGGCCGAAGAAGAAAGTATTGGATCGCATATAAACAAATTTTCTGATATTCTTGAGAATCTGAACGACATCGGGGTGATACTGCCCGAAGAGGTTACAGTTATTTTGTTGCTGTCTGGTCTAAGTGACGCCTTCGAAAATTTTGTGGTCGCCGTTGAGACGCGCGACAGATTGCCGTCGCTCAATTTGCTAAAAATCAAATTGATGGAAGAAGGAGAGAGACGAAAGAGCGACGAAACAGTTCATGAGAAAGAAACAAAAATGTTCGCGTCGCGAACTGGAAAAGCTGTTACAAAAACGGAATGGAAGAACAAGGATAAAAACAAGAGAGCGTGTTGGACGTGTGGCCGTCAAGGGCATATTGCTGTAAACTGTCGTGAAAAGGGACAGACCGAACAGAAAGAAGGAGAAAAGAAGGAGAATAATCGCAATTATTCAGTTTTCTCTTATGGATCAAATGAGTTCGGAGAACGCCGAGAGAGTGTTTGGTGTGTGGACAGTGGTGCTACGACGCATATTTGTTGTGATCGCTCTAGTTTTACAACTATAAAGGAACACCGAGAAAAAATAATGTTGGCTGGCACAAATAGCATCATGGCGGAAGGTCGTGGAAATGTACGCATACAATGGAAGAAAAGTACGATCGATCTAGTGGATGTACTGTATGTAAAAGATTTGCAGTGTAACTTTTTATCCGTACCGAGAGCAGTTGAAAATGGATTTCGTGCAGAGTTTTCTGGAAATAGAGCCCAAATCATAAATGAAAAGGGAAATGTTGTGTTAAGTGCCGATAAGAAAAATGACTTATTCTTATTAGAAACCAACAAAAGTGTATGTTTTGCGGCA